CCCCCCATCCACGTGTGAGAAACGAACGTGCGAGAAGGGCAGCAGCCACTGATGTGTCAAACCAGTCGGTCGACCACCTGCGCCCAGAAGGCAGGTGGGATCTGCTGGCACCCCAGCTGTCCCTGTAAAATACCAATACACAATGGTCGCGGGGCGGCCGCGCATGCTCCAAATGTGGAGGCAAAGTGCGTTGTGTATTGTTTTTCCCAACCATCCTGTGGTGTTGGGTCCTCGTTTTGAAGAGACAGCGCCCCGCGTTCACTCCTCCTCCTCCCGCTGCCCCCTCCCTCCTGCCATCATCGTCATCATCATCATCATCATCATCATCATCACCATCATCATCGTCATCATCATCATCGTCATCATCATCATTATCATCATCATTATCATCATCATTCCTCTCCTCTCCTCTCCTCTCCTCTTCTCCTCTCCTCTTCACCCACCCAGTACACTGTTTCGTGGCTCCATAGGGAGCTCCACCGAAGGCCCCAGTGCCCGCGCCCGCATGCGTCACCCACACCCATTTCTCACCGAAGGCCCCAGTGCCCGCGCCCGCATGCGTCACCCACACCCATTTCGGCACACCCCTCACACGTTTCGTGGCTCCATAGGGAGCTCCACCGAAGGCCCCAGTGCCCGCGCCCGCATGCGTCACCCACACCCATTTCGGCACACCCCTCACACGTTTCGTGGCTCCATAGGGAGCTCCACCGAAGGCCCCAGTGCCCGCGCCCGCATGCGTCACCCACACCCATTTCGGCACACCCCTCACACGTTTCGTGGCTCCATAGGGAGCTCCACCGAAGGCCCCAGTGCCCGCGCCCGCATGCGTCACCCACACCCATTTCGGCACACCCCTCACACGTTTCGTGGCTCCATAGGGAGCTCCACCGAAGGCCCCAGTGCCCGCGCCCGCATGCGTCACCCACACCCATTTCGGCACACCCCTCACACGTTTCGTGGCTCCATAGGGAGCTCCACCGAAGGCCCCAGTCGCCGATGCGTCACCCACACCCATTTCGGCACACCCCTCACACGTTTCGTGGCTGCATAGGGAGCTCCACCGAAGGCCCCAGTGCCCGCGCCCGCATGCGTCACCCACACCCATTTCGGCACACCCCTCACACGTTTCGTGGCTCCATAGGGAGCTCCACCGAAGGCCCCAGTGCCCGCGCCCACATGCGTCACCCACACCCATTTCGGCACACCCCTCACACGTTTCGTGGCCCCATAGGGAGCTCCACCGAAGGGCCCATTGCCCGCGCCCGCATGCGTCACCCACACCCATTTCGGCACACCCCTCACACGTTTCGTGGCCCCATAGGGAGCTCCACCGAAGGCCCCAGTGCCCGCGCCCGCATGCGCATGCGTCCCGCACACCCATTTCGGCACATCCCTGACAGGTTTCGTGGCCCCATCATCCACCGGAGGCCCCAGTGGCGGCGCTCACATGCGTCACCCACACCCACCCAATTCGGCACACCCCTCACACGTTTCGTGGCCCCATAGGGAGCTCCACCGAAGGCCCCAGCGGCCGCGCTCACATGCGTCCCCGCCACCCATCCCGGCACGCCCCTCACAACAACAGGTTTCGTGGCCCCATAGGGAGCTCCACCGAAGGCCCCAGTGGCACCGCCCGCATGCGTCACCACCCGCACCCAATTCGGCACACCCCTCACACGTTTCGTGGCCCCATAGAGAGCTGCACCGAAGGCCCCAGTGGCGGCGCTCACATGCGTCCCCGCCACACATCCCAGTACACCCCTCACGCGCTTCGTGGCCCCATAGGGAGCTCCACCGAAGGCCCCAGTAGCGGCGCTTACATGCGTCTCCGCCACCCATCCCGCCCCCCCCCCCCGCAGCAGCATCATGTTTCGGGGACCCATAGGGAGCTCCACTGGAGGCCCCAGTGGCGGCCCGCACATGCGTTTCCGCCACCCATGTCGGCACGCCCCGCGCGTGTTTCATGTCCCCATCGGGAGCTTCGCCGAATGCCCCAGTGGCACCCATCTCGGCACACCCCTCACACGTTCCGTAATCCTATGGGGAGTTCCATTGAAGATGAGACCCGCAGCTGCGGTACTGACAACTGCATATGGTTGGGTTCTTCGCCAGGCTAATTTGATAGGGGTGGGGGGGGGTGGCCCTCATGGGGTCGTCATGGTTCCGGGTTGGCCGCCGACCGGGTTGAGGAGGTGGTGTACATCAATAGGGAGCAGTGACTGAGGCCCCCCCTTCGCCCTCAAGCCGTTTCGCTCATTCCCATCCGCTCTCCCAACACATATAAAATCCGAGAGGGTCTCAGCATATTGCCTAGGAGCTCCACGCATGCCCTGTGCGCCACGGGTTCCAGGCACCCTGGAGACCCAAGCGAGCCAGGCGCGCCAGGTGCGGCACGTGCTCCATGTTTACGCAATCTTCTGGCACCCCCGTTGTCCCTGTCAAGCCAATGCAGTGTGGTCGCGGGGCGCCCACGCGCGCTCCGGATGTGGAGACAAAGTGCATGCTGTATTTCCCAACCATCCTGTGGTGTTGGGTCCTCGTTTTGAAGAGACAGCGCCCCGCGTTCACTCCTCCTCCCGCTGCCCCCTCCGCCTCCTCTCCCCTCCTCTCCTCTCCTCCTCCTCCCCCTCCTCCTCCCTCCTCCCCCTCTTCCCTGCGTTTCACCCACCCAGTACAGCGTTTCGTAGCCCCATAGGAGCTCCACCGAAGGCCCCATGCGCACACCCAATTCGGCACACCCCTCACACGTTTCGTGGCTCCATAGGGAGCTCCACCGAAGGCCCCAGTACCCGCGCCCGCATGCGTCACCCACACCCATTTCGGCACACCCCTCACACGTTTCGTGGCTCCATAGGGAGCTCCACCGAAGGCCCCAGTGCCCGCGCCCGCATGCGTCACCCACACCCATTTCGGCACACCCCTCACACGCTTCGTGGCTCCATAGGGAGCTCCACCGAAGGCCCCAGTGCCCGCGCCCGCATGCGTCACCCACACCCATTTCGGCACACCCCTCACACGTTTCGTGGCTCCATAGGGAGCTCCACCGAAGGCCCCAGTGCCCGCGCCCGCATGCGTCACCCACACCCATTTCGGCACACCCCTCACACGTTTCGTGGCTCCATAGGGAGCTCCACCGAAGGCCCCAGTGCCCGCGCCCGCATGCGTCACCCACACCCATTTCGGCACACCCCTCACACGTTTCGTGGCTCCATAGGGAGCTCCACCGAAGGCCCCAGTGCCCGCGCCCGCATGCGTCACCCACACCCATTTCGGCACACCCCTCACACGTTTCGTGGCTCCATAGGGAGCTCCACCGAAGGCCCCAGTGCCCGCGCCCGCATGCGTCACCCACACCCATTTCGGCACACCCCTCACACGTTTCGTGGCTCCATAGGGAGCTCCACCGAAGGCCCCAGTGCCCGCGCCCGCATGCGTCACCCACACCCATTTCGGCACACCCCTCACACGTTTCGTGGCTCCATAGGGAGCTCCACCGAAGGCCCCAGTGCCCGCGCCCGCATGCGTCACCCACACCCATTTCGGCACACCCCTCACACGTTTCGTGGCTCCATAGGGAGCTCCACCGAAGGCCCCAGTGCCCGCGCCCGCATGCGTCACCCACACCCATTTCGGCACACCCCTCACACGTTTCGTGGCTCCATAGGGAGCTCCACCGAAGGCCCCAGTGCCCGCGCCCGCATGCGTCACCCACACCCATTTCGGCACACCCCTCACACGTTTCGTGGCTCCATAGGGAGCTCCACCGAAGGCCCCAGTGCCCGCGCCCGCATGCGTCACCCACACCCATTTCGGCACACCCCTCACACGTTTCGTGGCTCCATAGGGAGCTCCACCGAAGGCCCCAGTGCCCGCGCCCGCATGCGTCACCCACACCCATTTCGGCACACCCCTCACACGTTTCGTGGCTCCATAGGGAGCTCCACCGAAGGCCCCAGTGCCCGCGCCCGCATGCGTCACCCACACCCATTTCGGCACACCCCTCACACGTTTCGTGGCCCCATAGGGAGCTCCGCCGAAGGCCCCAGTGCCCGCGCCCGCATGCGTCAGCCACACCCATTTCGGCACGCCCCTCACGCGTTCCGTGGCCCCATAGGGAGCTCCGCCGAAGGTCCCAGAGAGTGTGCCCGCATGCGTCCCGCACACCCATTTCGGCACACCCCTCACACGTTTCTTGGCCCCATAGAGAGCTCCACCGAAGGCCCCAGTGGGTGTGCCCGCATGCGTCCCGCACACCCATTTCGGCACACCCCTCGTACGTTTCGTGGCCCCGAAGGGGGCTCCACCGAGAAGATATTCACAATTGCAGTATTCACAATTGCATATGGTTGGGTCCTTCGCCAGGATATTTTTTTGGCATGGACTGCTGGCTTGCGCGCCGCGAGCCGTGTGTCGGCACCCCCGCCGTCTTTGTCAGACGCCATTGCGAAGTGCTCGCGGGGCGCCCGCGCATGCTCCAGATTTAGAGGCAAAGTGCATTCTGTATTGTATTGTTTTTTGACAGGGATGGGTGGCCTGCGCGCAGCGAGCAACATGACGGCACCCTCGCCGTCTTTGTCAATAACCGATGCAAAGTGGTCGCAGGGCGCCCGCGCATGCTCCAGATTTAGAGGCAAAGCGCATTCTATATTGTCTTTTGACAGGGATGATGCTGGGGTGGGTGGGGCATGTCTCGGGTTGACCCACAGTCGATTGAGCCTTCCCTGAGGGAAAGAAGGGGGAGTGGAAGAGACAGCCCGCTAGACCACTCACGCCCTAACGGCTGCTGGGATTCGATGACAATGGTGACTCCCGTACCATCTTTGCCTCCAACCGGGTCCGCCTCAGCCTGTTCTGTGGCACGCTCGAATTCGAGCGCCAAACACGCTATTGGCTCAATCATCGAACGTGGATTTCTGCACTCTACACGCACTCCCACACACACACAACCACCTGGCCACATCGGACTTGCGTAACTTCCTCTCGTACACTCTGCTTGGATGGCGGCGTCTGGGATGGTCTGGCCTCTCGTGTTTCTCGTGCTACCAAGCGCGTCCTGCATGCAGCTGGAGACGAGCAGCTGGCGCGAACATTTGACCGCCAACGCGACGTCCGCGCAGTCGAAGCGCGCGGAGTGCAGCGCGTTCCAGGTGGGTCAAGGCTGCTGCACGCCACTGGGAGATACCGCGTCTGCGTGGACGTTCGCTTCGTTTGGTACGCATGGCACTTGGTCCAGCACCCCGGCGTTCGTCCGGTATGACTTCCACGACGATACGATCTGCGGTGGCGTGGCGAACGCCAGGCAACATGGGAACGCAGTTCTCTCCTTGAACGACGCTTCTCCCATCGACCTGACCCTTTCGATGACAGGCGTGGCGGAGGCCAATTTCGAAAAATTCCAGCTGTTCGTGGATAACGTCCTGATCACCACGGTGCAAGCTTCAAACGGCCACGGGGGTAGCGCGTGCCAGGTCAGCACCTGCATCATGTGCGATGTCAACATGCCCTCGCAGACGTTTTCGCTTTCACCTGGGGTGCACACAATCAAGGTAGAGGTTGATTCCTCTCGCTTCGCGGGGTGCACGTCCAGAGTACGTACAGTCAAGTCGTGGCCTGCACTTGGAGGCGCGCTGCGCCCAGTGGAGTTCGTGCGATGAGCCACGTGCTGCACCTGGTCCAGACAGTCAGCTGGCCGCTCAGTGCAGTCGTTGTGGGGCCTTTTGGGAGCCTCTTGGGAGACTCTTGGAGGCCTCTTGGGGGCTTCTTGGGGGTTTCTTGGGGGCTTCTTGGGTGCCTCCTGGAGCCTCTTGGGGGTGTCTTGTGCCGTGATGGTGCGCTTTTTCCCCGTTTCGCCCCATCGGAGGCCGTCTTGGGTGGCTCTCACGGCCGCCTTGGGGCTCTCTTGGGGTCCTCTTTGGCCGTCTTGGGGCTTCTTGGGTTGTTTTGGGGGGTTCATTGGGCCGTCTTGGGGCCCTCTGGAGCCGTCTTTGGGCTCCCGTGGGCGCTTCTGGGGCGGTCTGAGGGAAATGTTGGAAGCTGTTTGGGCCGTCTTGGGCCTCTGACAATCGAAAAAGGCGAGAACGCCCAAATCCTTCAAACACTGTTGGAAAATCATTGATTTTGGCCTCTGGGTGCGTTCTTGGGGGTGCTCTCGGTGCCCTCCTGGGCCGTCTTGGGGAGCTTTCTGGGCTTTCTTGGGCCATCTTGGGCCGTCTTGAGTGCGTAGTTGACCGTCTTGGAGCCACCCCGGGCCATATGGAGACCTTCTTGGAGTCCCAGAGAGACCCTAAATACCGAAATTGTTATATATAGAGAGAGAGAGAGAGAGAGAGAGAGAGAGAGCACCAGAATTGGGGCCGTCACTTTGGTACGGCGTAGTGGCGCGACTCCAAAGGGGGTTCGAGGGGGAGACATCATAATGTACAACAATACAACATGTAGCAATTTTGAATCATTAGATCCATTGGATCCGTTGGATACGTTGCATTTTCGGGGCCCCCTTGGGTGTTTCTTGGGCCTTCTTGGGGCCATCTTGGAGGCTGCTTGTGCCGTCATGGGCTTCTGAGAGGCGGAGAAGGCGAGAACGCTAAAATCTGTTTAAAACAATAGGACAACCAATGATTTTGGCCTCTAGAGGCGCTCTTGTGGGCGCTCTTGGGGCCCCCTTGGGCCGTCTTGGGGGCTTTTGGGGCCTTCTCGGGGCCATCTCGGGCCGTCTTGGGGCAGTCGCTGTGTGGCCTTTGGGGGGCTTTTTTGGAGCCTTTGGGAGGCTTCTTGAAAACATCTTGGAGGCCTCTTGGGGGCTTTTTGGGGCCCCTTGGGGGCCTCTTGGGGCCTCTTGGGGGCGTCTTTGGCGGTTTTGGGGCGCTTTTGCGCCGTTTCGCTCCGTCGGAAACCGTCTTGGGGGCCTCTCGCGGCCGCCTTGGGGCCGTCTTGGGGTCCTCTTGGGCCGTCATAGGGGCCTCTTGGACCGTCTTGGGGGCCTCTTTGGGCCGTCTTGGGGTTCTGTTGGGCCGTCTCGGGGCCCTCTTGGGGGCTTCTTGGGTTGTGCTGGAGCTATTTGCGAAGCTGCTTGGGCCGCAAAGGCGAGAACGTTAAAAGAGTGCCCAAACCATAGGAAAATCAATGATTTTGGCCTCTGGAGGCGCAGTTGTGGGCGCTCTTGGGGCCCTCTTGGCCGTCATTTGGGCTTTTTGGGCCCTCTTGGAACCATCTCGGACCGTCTCGGGGCCGTTTTGGCCCGCACAGAGCCCATCTTGAACCGTCTTGGCGCCCTCTCGGCCCCCCAAGAGGCCCAAGAGGTCGAAATCATCGATTTTCTATAAGTTTTGGTAGGTTTCTGAGCCCCGGGAGGGGGGGGGCCACTTTGGTCCGGCGGTGTGGCGCAGCTCCCAGGGGGGTTATCAGGGGGGGAGACATAATAATGTAACACAATGCAACATGTGGCAAGTATGCAATCATTGGATAAATTGGATACGTTGCAGTAAGGCGTTCGCCGGAAAACGCTGCCGCTCAGCACGTCACCTCCGGACGTGTATTCTTGGGCTTACGCCAAACCGCCGACCCCTGGAGGAACTGGCGGTTGTTGTGCATTTCTCCCGAGGGCCTCTTGGGCGCCTTTCGGGGGCTTCTTGGAGTTCTTTTGGGGCTTTATGGGGGCCTTTTGGGGGCCTTTTCGGGGCCTCTTCGGCTGACGTTCTCAGTATTTGCCGTGCGCGCATGGGGAAACGGGCGAGAACCCATGTATACAGACGGCGGGCATTTGTCAAACTACCAGAAGAAAGATCGAAGACGCCTACGGCGAGTCACCGCCGCCCCCTGCCTTTTTGGAAGCGCCTATGTGGCCGAACGTTGCGGCCAGACCTGCCGAGCTATCGGACCATGTGTTCCCCGAATCGGTTTGGAAAGGCTTCGGGGAACACGTGGGCATCTTGAAAGTCACCTTGGCCGTTTGGAGGCCCTTTTGACCCTTTCGGGCCTTCTTGGAGGACGTCTCGGAGGGCTCTTGGACCGTCTTGGAGGCCATCTTGAGCATCTTGGAGGCCTCTTGGGCCGTCTTGGGGGCCTCTTGGGGCTGTGGCCTGGGCCTCTTGGGCGATCTTTGGGGGCACTTGGGCCGTCTCGGGCAGTCGGAAGGCCGAACAAAAAGCACATACCACAATCCTTCAAAAACTCATGGAAAATTAATGATTTTGGCCTTTTCGGGCCTTCTGGAGGCCCTCTTGGAGGCCTCTTGGGCCGTCTTGGGCCATCTTAGGGCCATCTTCGGCCGTTTTGGTGGCGCCGTCGGAAGCCGTTTGGGGGCCTCTCTGGGCCGACTTGGGCCCTCTTGGAATGCTTTAGGGTCGTCTTAGAGGCCATCTTGGTGTCTTAAAGGCCTCCTGGGCCGTCTTTGTGCCCTCTTGGGGCCGTCTTGGGGGCCTCTTGGGCAGTCCTGAGACCATATTGGAGGCCTCTTGGGCGCTGTGGGGGCGATCTTGGGGGCCTCTTGGGCCGTCTTGGGTCGTCGGAAAGTCGAAAAGGAGCAAATACGAAAAACCTTCGCAAACCTAAGGACAATTAATGATTTCGGTGTTTTCGGGCCCTCCTGGAGGACCTCTTGCAAGCCTCTTGTGCCGTCTTGGAGGCCTCTTGGGCACCTCTTGGGCACCTCTTGGGCTGTCTTGGGCCGTCTTGGAGGTTTCTTGGGCGGACTTGGAGGCATCTCCTCCTCTTTTGGGCGGACTTGGAGGCCATCGGGGGCCGTCTTGGAGGCCATTTTGGGCCAACGTGGCCATCATGGAGGCCATCTTGAGCCGTCCTGGAGGACACACTGTGCAATTGGGCACCTTTCCGGGTGGCCGGCGGGACGTGCCAGAGGCCCAGAGGGAGTTTTTTTTTTTTTTTTTTTTTTTTTGTTTTTGAAAAAGAACCAAGGCACGCCAGGGTCTAGCACGCCAGGCACCCCTGCGATGAATCGACAGGGGGCGGCGGATCGAAGACGCCTACGGCGAATCACCGCCGCCCCTGCCTTTTTGGAAGCGCCTATGTGGCCGAATGTTGAGGCCAGACCTGCCAAGCTATCGGACCATGTGTTCCCCGAATCGGTTTGGAAAGGCTTCGGGGAACACGTGGGCATCTTGATTGTCACCTTGGCCGTTTGGAGGCCCTTTTGACCCTTTCGGGCCTTCTTGGAGGACGTCTTGGAGGGCTCTTGGGCCGTCTTGGAGGCCATCTTGAGCGTCTTGGAGACCTCTTGGGCCGTTCTGGGGGCCTCTTGGGGCCGTGGCTTGGGCCTCTTGGGCGATCTTTGGGGGCACTTGGGCCGTCTCGGGCAGTCGGAAGGCCGAACAAAAAGCACATGCCACAATCCTTCAAAAACTCATGGAAAATGAATGAGTTTGGCCTCTTCGGACCTGCCTGGAGGCCCTCTTGGAGGCCTCTTGGGCCGCCTTGGGCCATCTTAGGGCCATGTTCGGCCGTCTTGGTGGGCTCCTGGTCCGTCTGACGCCGTCGGAAGCCGTTTGGGGGGCCTCTATGCGCCGACTTGGGGCCCTCTTGGAATGCTCCAGGGCCGTCTTGGAGGCCATCTTGGGCGTCTTAAAGGCCTCCTGTGTCGTCTTGGGGGCCTCTTGGGGCCGTCTTGGGGCCCTCTTGGGCCGTTCTGGCGCCATCTTGGATGCCTCTTGGGCGATCTTTCGGTGATCTTTGGGGGCTCTTGGGCCGTCTCGGGCCGTCGGAAGGCCGAAAAGAAGCAAATATCAAAATCCGTCAGTAACCTTAGGAAAATCAATGTTTTGGGCCTCTTCTGGCCTTCCTGGAGGCCCTCTTGGGGGCCTCTTCGGCCGTCTTGAGCCAGCTTCGAGCCAACTTCGGCCATCTCGGTGGGTTCCTGGGACGTCTGACGCCGTCGGGAGCCGTCTTGGGGGCCTTTCTGGGCCGACTTGGGGCCCTTTTGTGGCGCTTTGGGGCCGTCTTGGAGGCCTTCTTGGGCGTCTTGGAGGCCATCTTGGGCGTGTTGGAGGCCTCTTGGGCCGTCTTGGGGGCGGGCTTGGGGATCTCTCGGGACCCCGGCGGGACGCGCCGGGCCCTCTTGGGGCCGTCTTGGAGGCCACTTGGGCCGTCATGGGGCCCTCTTGGGGGCCTCTTGGGCGATCTTGGGTGCCTCTTGGGCCGTCTTGAGCTGTCGGGATGCCGAGAAGAAGCAAGTGCCAAAATCCTTCAAAGACCTGAGGAAAATCAATGATTTGGGCCTCTTCGGGCCCTCCTGGAGGACCTCTTGGAGGCCTCTTGGGCCGTCTTGGAGGCCTCTTCGGGGCCTCTTGGGCCGTCTTGGGCCGTCTTGGACTCTCTTGGGCCGTCTTGGAGGCCGTCTTGGACCATCTTGGGCAGACTTGGAGGCCATCTTGGGCCATCTTCGCGATTTTTTGACGATGTTCCGAGCGAAACGGCCGTTTCTGGCGTTTGCAACCGGGTCTCCCAGGACCCCGGCGGGACGCGCCGGAGCCCCAGGGGGAGTTCTTTTCGGAAGAGAACCAGAACCAAAGCCGATAGGATTCGGCACGCCAGGCACCCCTGCGATGGATCGACAGGGGGCGGCGGATCGAGTGGCTCTCGGCACGTCCCGCCACCGTGCCTGGGTTGCGGGTCTGAGGCCACTCGGATGGCTGATGGGGTC